CTATCAAATATATCTTAGCCATAAATTGTGTGCATGCCTGCTACAACAATGACCAAGCGCAATTGACCACTAATTACGGTTCAAAATAATAGCTCCCCTAGGACAGTTAGTAGCCTTATCAGGCGATCGCGACCACGATATGATTGAAACACTAATGGTTAATTAAAGGCAGGTAGGCATGCAGATGGAGACCGCTTCACTTGAGGAAATAATCGATAGCCTCTTTTTTGCTGATAGAAGACAATTTCCAATGCTGTTTTTTAGGAGTTGGTGTAAATCTTTAGGTGTAATAGCGTTGTAAGGAAGTTTTTCCCGACAACCAAGAATACTGTCTGTAATACAGTCCACTTGCTTACATGAGAAATCGTCGCGGGATTCTACTGAATGCCGACGTGCCAATACAGTCTGACTAAGTTAATTTCACTTTATTTCCTGGTCTTGGTATATTAATGAGCATTTTTTGCTCTCTCTGCACCTGGCTTTCTCTACCCAACTTCCGAACAGATGACAGGGATTAACCGGCAAAACGTAGAGATTAGTATAACATGTCTGTCTCCGTTTCCTATAGGCAGTCAGTCATACCCTGCTCTTTGGCCCAAAAAACGCAAAATTTGGCTGAGTTAATGGGGTTGTGACTGACGCGAAGTCTACTATGCTGCTTGCTTGCGTGCCACTGACTACGATGGGAAATATTGCATCAAGCAATAATAAACTCTTATCAATCTGATCTGGTTGAAAGACGCAGTACACCAGCTTAATTCCGGCCAGGAACCCCATTTCTTATAGGTGTTTACTTTTACTAATGCCGATTGTTGATATAAGTAAAACGTTAAATGCAAACCAGACTACTGGTTTGTCGCTCTCGATCTTTCCACGCGAAAAAATAGCCCGGGTTATGAAGAATGAGACTCGATTGCCTGAAGTTTCGGAGTCCTGCTCGAAGCCATAATCAGCGACAGCAGCAGATACGAGTGATTCACGCACAAGGGGAGGCAGTATTTATAGGATACAGTAGCCATGCTAACGCATACCTATGAACATTCACGACTTCCCCCTTCATCAGGAATCGTTGCACTCGATGTGATGACTGTTTGATGGCCGACATTCGCGTCGTTAATTGCAGCAATTTCATCACGTGCGTTGGATGGTGGGGTGATGATTGCTCGACCATCTGACGCACCGACCCTGGTGTTGGGACAAGTGTTCACATGTGCGCTCCCCGCGTGGCTAATTACTCCGCCTAGGCGAAGTTTCAGCACTGAGTATGGAAGACGGCGTTTCCCGGACATTCCCGAACATTCAATTTACGATGGAGGAGGAAGAGAACAACTAGCTGGCCTTCCTGGATGTACACGTATGCCGCAAGGATTGTGGTGGACTAAAGACCAAAGTGTTCAGAGAAGCGACAAATACGATGTAAGTACTGAACTTCAACAGCAATCACCCAATCAGCCACAAACGCAGTTGTGTAAGGACGCTCTATCGGCGTGTCGAGACGCACTGCAGTGAGCCGGAAGACAGGATTGCCGAACTACAATACCTCCGAGGGATATTCAAAGCCACTTGCTACCCGCGCAACGTTGTCGGCTAGATCGAAGTTGGTAGCCAGGCCCTGTATTACAGGTGGCTGGGGGGTTGTTTACTGGGGCTATTTTATGAGGTTCCATAATCACATCTGACCCAGTTGGCTTCCGTTTTACGTCTGAGGTTAGGATTAGGGTACTGGTTAATGGTTTCCGATTTTCGGGTTAGGCTTATGCCTTTAGGCTTAGGTTACGGTTAGGGTTTAAGCATACGATTAGGTTTCAGTATTACGGTTAGGTTTTTTCGGTTACGGCTATGCCTAAGGGCAACGGTTACATTTACGATTTCGGATTGGTTTAGGGTTAGGGTTGGCATTAAGGTTAACGGTTAACGTTTAAGATTGAGGTTAAGGTTATGATTAGGGTTAAGGTCGCCGTCCACTTCCCCATTCCTGGCTACCAACTGCGATCTAGGCACTTTGTCAACCGGTGCATACGCAAAAAGGACGAAAGGCCTAACCGCACGGACACCAAATTCTGGCGATCGCTTCCCTATGTCAAGAGCGTTTCGGAAGCTGCCGGCCGCCTTCTCGCACCACTTGGGATTGTAGTTGCACACAGACCGGAGGCAACCATCAGGCGTCTGGTAATGAAACCGAAAGACCCGCTGCCACGGCAAGAAACGTCTGGAGTCGATTATCGGATCTGTCGCAGTTGCGGACAAAGCAACTATGTCGGAGAAACCGGAAGACAGCTCCGAACGAGCATGGCCGAACACGCTGCAGCGGTGCGGAGAAATGACGCCAGCTCTCAAGTTGCGGCTCATTCGACGAGATCCGGCCACACATTCAAATTCGACGAGGCTGAAATTCTTGCTAGAGGGGACAACCGCGTGAGCCGAGAACTACTTGAGCCATGGTTTACTGGTTCCCAATCAATTAACAAGTGCAATGAGCGTTCCCTCCCATACTCGGTGTCGAGACTTCGCCTAGGCGGAGTAATTAGCTAAGCGGGGAGCACACATGTGAACACTTGTCCCAACACCAGGGTCGGTGCGTCAGATGGTCGAGCAATCATCACACCACCATCCAACGCATGTGATGAGATTGCAGCAATTAACGATGCGAATGTCGGCCATCAAACAATCATCACACCACGTGCAACAATCCCTGATGAAGGGGGAAGTCGTGAACATTCTTAGGTATGTGGTAGCATTGCTACTGCATCCTATAAATACTGCCTCCCCTTGTGCGTGAATCCCTCGTATCTGCTGTTGTCTCTGATTATGGCTTCGAGCAGGGCTCCGAAACGTCAGGCTAGTAAAGCTCTAGTTCCAGCGATCGTGTCTCCTTCAAGACTACTTCCTGGGACTCGTCTCTTTGCTTGTATTAGCCCGTGTTATACATATAGCAATGAGACTTACAGTATAGTGTTTGACTGAATGTCGTTCAGCCGTCAATACGGGTAGTGGAAAACTCCTTGGGCTCTACTACATCTTCTTAGAGGAAATT